AAAAAAAATTTATAATGCTACGAGAACAAAACAAAGATCCTTGCAAAGTTAAAGATTGTGATAATAATGATGTTACTCATTATCATAAATTTACTACATATGCAAAAGAAAAATTAATTGCAAAAATACATTTGATGAGTATGATTATTTAGAAATTAATAATCAATTATGTTATATGCACTATTTAATAATTGTAGAGCCTGATAGAAATAATAAAAAAAAATCAATAGAATTTATTACTAATAAAAAAATTCATAAAATTTTTACACTTTCAGATATTATTAATGATAAATGGAAAGATATTACAATTGATATTATAAATGATGAGATTATTTTAAATAAAGATGATTTTATAAAATTAATTAATAGAACAAATCAATTAGAAATATTTCAAGCAGAAAATCAAAATTTAAATAGAGATTTAAATATTTTATCATCAAGTAAAATTTTTAATTTATTATATTTTATTTATTTATTTTATTTTTTTAATACCAATAATATTTTTATTAATATTTAGCTTTAAATTTTGAAAATAAATTAGATTTACTTTCAAAAATTCTTTTTAAAAAGCAAAGAAGATTAAATAATCCAATAGAATTAGATCTTAAAAAATTTTTAGAATTAATTACAAAGTCTAATTTTTTACTTGAGGGATTTTTTGATAAAATTTTTAATGCTATAAGTCCAAGAAGTAGAGATTATCAAACTAGAGAAAATGATAAAAAAAATAGCAGTTAGATTTGTTATCTTCTTGCTAGAGCTCAAAATAAATTTGCAAATAAATTAAAAATAGAAATTGGGCTTTATTTATTAGCATCTGGATGTAGTAGTTTTGCAATAGATACATTAGCAAATCTTGGAATTTCAGCATGTTATAAAACAATTGATGATTATAAAAAAAATAGCAAAAGAACATCCAACAAAAATTTCTAATTATTTTTCATTTTATGTAAGTAAATTTTAATAATAATTTTAAATTTATTTTTATTTTAATTTATTAATTTAATATATTTATTTTTTTAGCAAAATATTATGCAAATTTTTAATATTGATGATTATTATTCAATTCATTTTTATAAAAGATCAGATATTGCATTATTATCAAATGTATATCATATAGCTACTTGTGTTGCAAAAAGAATTAATAATTGTGTACCAATTCTAGCAACATTTAATCATATTTCATTTTTTAATCCTCTTAATATTGATGCAAGTTTAATTAATAAATATTTGCTTGAAAAATATAATGGAACTTTTGATATAAATTATAATGTTCAAAAATTTCATTAGACTAATCAAAATATTCAAAAATTTCAACATTTTGATCAAATAGAGCTTCTTACAATTCATATTTATAATGATGCAATTTGTGAATGAAAAGAAGAAAGATCAATAGAAAATGTACAAATTGTTGATATTAAAGAATATAGATTAAAATCAACAACAGATTATATTAAAGCACTTTCAATGATAACACAAATACCATCATTATATAGATATTTAGAAAATAATATTTTACCAGTTGTAGCAGATTGGCCAGGACAATTATATATTCGAAAAGCTATTACTTTATTACAAAAAAAATTAAATTCTTAAAAAAATAATCTAAATTATCAAATTACTATTCCAACAAATATTAAAAACTTTATTCCAAATTTGGAACTTTTACATGTTTCTTTAAATACAAGACAACATATTTTAATAGTTCATTATGAATTTTTTAACAAATTATATAAATTTGTTTTTAGATTAAAAAAAAAATAATTAGCTAAAACTTCTCAACCTTATAAAATTAATCTTCTTTTAGAATTAGAAAATGAAAGTTGGAAAAAATTAGTAATTTAATTATTTTAAAATTTTCTAAATTATGCAAAGATATAGAATATAGAATACTTATTGATCTTTTGGATAATTTAATTCTAGCAGCTTTGGATATATATGCTATTCTTTTTAGATCTGGATTATTTGAAGAATATATAAAAACAATTTTTCAAATTTTGACATTTGCTTTACGATAGAATAGAAAAAATTATAACAAAGCACCTTTGGTATTTTTATCTTATTATTTTATTGGAAAGATACAAATTATCCATTTAGTAAAGTATTAGAATCTTATCTTGTAAATTTTAATAATTATTTTGTTGAAAATGTTCATAGTAAGATTCGGGCAAACACAACTTCAAAAAATTCAACTGATATTATAAAAAAACAAACATATATATTAAATCATCATAATTATTCTTTTATAAATTTTTATAAAAATACACAAAAATATCCATACTCTTCTTCAACTTTAGATATATTAATTCAAAAAACATCAATATTTTTATTAGAAACTTTCATTCTATTTATAATAATATTGGAAAACCCCAATTTTCTAAAAATAAGAAGAAATTTACATTATCAGCTCTTCAACTAACTGTAGATATTAGATGTTTTTCTACTAGATATCATTCATCATTTCCACCTATATTAAAACAATGTGATGCTTATAAAAAAGATCTTGTTGAAACTACAGAAGAAAATAAATTTATTTTAATTTGTGGACATGGATATCATTTAGATTGTTATAAAAAAAACATAATAGATATAAATATTGTGTACAATATTATAAAAAACAAATTTTTGATAATGTAAATCATTTGTAGAAAGATTAGAAAGTAGTGATGATAATTTAAAAGAACTTATAGAAGATGATAATAATAATAATAATGATGATGATAATGATGATGATAATAATGAAACAAATAAAACACAGTTTTTATCAAACCAAAAAAATATTAATTTAAAATATTTAACAGCTCTTAATAATATACATAATTGGTAAATTATTTTTTTTATAAAATTACATATACTATATTAGTAACTAAATATTATAAAAATAACTAAATATTATTTTAAATATACTGTATTTATATATTATTTTAATAAAAAATTATTAATATATTATATAAAATATATATTATTTTAAAATATATACTATATTCTAAATTAGAGTCTATTCTAATCTACTCTAATTTTAACTCTAAATACTAATTCTAAAATTTTAATTTTGCCAAAATAATATATAAAATTTCTATTCAGAATAGTTCAATTCTGAATTGGAATAATCGATGAAACTAAACTTGTATCAAGCTAGCAACAAAACCAAAAAAAAAGAACAAATTTCTATTTACCTCTCTTATATGACAATTTACTATAACCTCATACTACCCTTACTCACTCAACAATTCATACTTAATCCAAATACATCATACTTACAAATCGCTCATAAACATCACTTAATCAATCAAACCAATACTCATCAAACAATATATCATACTTATATGTTTTAGTGAGATAATAAACAATGATAATGTGCTTTCGTTTACCTTCTAAATGTTTCTAAATGCTATAAACAGTAGGCCATTTTTTTAAACCAAAATTCATGCACCACCTAGCTAATTCAATAAACAGGAGGGAACGTACCCGATCCAAAGTGAATCCCACACATGGTGTAATCAATTAAAACTAATATAAATAGTTTCATTTTTAATAGATCGTACCATGTGTGGATTCACTTTGGATCGGGTACGTTCCCTCCTGTTAATTCAATATAATACTCGGGTCCCACCAGTCTCAACCCTCTGTATATATTAAATGAAAGGTCACGATCAAAAGGATAACTATCAAAAGGCCTTTGTCCAGTTGAATCTTCACCACACTTCCGCCTTGCTTATTCTAAAAGTAAATACAATATATTTTAGTTCGAATTAACCCAATCACTATATC